ATTAGTCAAATGGATTTGGCGAATCAAATTCAACATTTTTTTTGGGACAGGAAAATGATTGGTGAAGTGATTTCTCGAACAAATCGAGTATTTTCGCCAGTCCACGTTTCGTCAAATACCGTCAGAACAGTTCTGTAAGGCCTACAAGTACTACTTTCACTTTCATGAGGGTGTAGGAAAAGGTCGAATGGTGTCCTAGCTTGCCAACTTTCGCTAAAGCATAGAAGTTTGAAGTTCATATCAGAGACTGAAATCCCACCTCCCTGCCTTTTATCCATATGTCTTATGTACATGGGAAGGGGGAGTAGGAGGGGAAAAAAAGAGACAGAGAAAAGAGAAAGAGAGGAGAGAGAGAGAGAGAGAGAGAGAGGGGGGAGAGAGAGAGAGGGAAAGAGAGAGAGAGAGAGAGAGAAAGAGAGAGAGAGAGAGGTGGAGTAGGTGGGGTGGGGGGGATGTGCGCGTTTGTTCAGTGATTTGAAAGAAAAGAAGTATACAAACTACACTGAGAGCAGTTACATAAAAGAATCCACAGTGAAGCGTTCATGAAAACCACATGGTTCAAGTAAAAATAATTAATATAAACGTGCTGTTGGATCATTATCACCCATCAAATATGGCGAATGAGCGCTTTTTTCCTATCGGTGTTGGAGATTAGTGGGGTTTCTTATATTGTTTGGGTTTTTTTCTCTACTTCTTGCAAATATTACTTTTATATTTAGCTGCCGTTGTTTTTTTTGGCTAAAAGTCAACGTTGTTGCACTGAATCGCAGAAAGCCTATAAGGACAACGGCATATTTCGGGCTGTCAGTACTGCTAATGATAAAGGTTTTGAGTCGTCTTTCTACTAGCTTCCTGAGATGTAATCACAGCACTATGTATAATGGTTGGGGTTGGACAGTATTGAGACTTCATAGCTCTTTGATGGTGAGTCAGTCAGTTGTGGGATGTCATTAAAAGAACATAACAGCACGGGAAGTGGAAAGGGTCATTGACCCGCGGAAGAAGATGATTCTCACTATTCCCGACGTGATGATAGCGTTCAACTCCTTCCTGATATCCACCACAAACACCCTCGTTGAACCAGTGAAGCCAGACAGTAGAAAAAAGTCCTGGGAACCACATAGAGTATATGAAGCCATCTGCAAGAGAAGCAAACTCAGACGAAAGTTTGTTGCTGTCGATGAATAAAGAGAAGCACACAGACACAATAACTGTCATTTTGGTGCTGGGAAAAAGTAAGACAGGTAGACAAAAATAACAGGGGGTAAGTAAAGAAGTAGGACCTACCAGTGGCACCCTCCAACCACCCGCCCGTCAAGAGGGGAGGACGTGCCGAAGAGAGTAGCTTGAGGCACAGCAGGCAATCAGCACGGCCAGAACCAACTTGTGACGAAATCTGTGTGAAGATACTGCCAGTTCGCTGATGACCCTATCGTTAGGAAACTGATTTGAAAACCTCAACGAAACCCAAGATATAAATACACCAAACAAAACAATGAAGTACAACGGACACCTTGTCACCTCTGAGAGGAGGAAATCTGACCTATTTGTAATGCACTTCTCGAAGGCGTGCAACGTGGTCATGAATGAAGATAATTCAGGAGTGAATAGAGCACTGAAAGTGAAACAACGGCTAAGCGACCTCGGAAAATCCCCAGGAGAGGCTCAGCCCAACTTCACAATCGCTGAGCTAAAGGTCCGCTATCACAATGACTGAGAAAAGGTCCACTGTAACAATGACTGAGAAAAAAGTCCACTACCACAATCGCTGAGCTAAGGTAAGAGGGTCTACTGGGGTAAAGATAGTTGCAAAGCGCATAGAGCATGCTTTTGAGCATGGATATGCGCTATATAAATGCAATTATTATTAAGGTACGCTATCATAATCACTGAGCTAAGGTCCGATATCTCCAAAATGAGAACCATCAGGACTCTCAGCCCCCAACAACATCCCTTCAGCCTATCTCAAACATTTAGGTCCAAACACACAAGAGACGCCCCTCCTCGTTTTCAATATGACCTTCCGCTCAGTAGACGCCAGTTTTCTCGGAGAGACCAAACGGAAGTAGACGTAGTCAGCACAAGGCGGTGACCATCGGGAGAATTTCTGTGCTCGGGGTCGTGGATAGGCGCAACAGACGAATTACTGATTCAGTTGTCACCTTAACCACTCTGTCACATACAGCACAAAAACAAGAACAAAAACAACCCATCATCATCATCAGCATCACCATCATCATCATCATCATCCTCATCATCATCATCATCATCATCATCATCTTAGTAAATAGCAGGGAATAAAAAAGGGTTGAGACTTGTAGATTTTTCAAATGTAATACAGGTTCAACGTTTTGCCCTCTAAAGGGTTTCATCAGGAACATGATACAAAAAGAGATCATCATCATCATCATCATCATCATCATCATCATCATCATCATCATCATCATCAACAACAACAACAACAACAACAACAACAACGGAAGACTGGGCTCCCTCACACATTACTAAAAGTGAGCAACACAACTGCAATTATTTGAGGGGGACGAAATCGGGAGACTTGACAGTCTCACACGTTCACGAGGTTTTGAACCTGACCAAAGATCATACACTTGAAGATCGTTCGCGCCTCTTTTTCCGCCTATAAAATAGTGAGGTCAAAATTCGTGGTGCAACTTATCCTCAAATATCTCTTTAACGGGTGAATCAATGTCATCCATACTTTGCATAGCAGTTTGTATCAATTTGTCCTAACTAAATTTTAATCATATCTTTCGAAAACAATTGGGGCTAGATTAAAAAACTTTTGTTCATAAATTTATATAAAATACTTGAAATCTCTGTCACACGTAAAATTGTATTGTTCACATCAGTTTCCGCTTCGCACACACATTTTGATTACGCATATGACCTACGTCACAGCTCATCCATGACAATTTTTACTTGCAAAAATTGTTACAAGAAATTACTGTTATTGTGAACACATTTTTTTCCATTAATTGTTCTCAAAACATGCGTTCAATAGACATGTTCTGATTAGAAAAACCTGACGGACTTGCTATTAAAAGCTATATTGCCCAAGCTGTAAACATTTTAAAAATGTGTAGAAACCACACACTTGGATTTTTTATTAGTATTTATAAAGGAATTTTCTAGAATACTGCTTGCAGGTGTTTACAAAAATATTAATCTGTTGAGACAAATTGATACAAGGCACTGTGCAAAAATTGGAGAACCTATGTTCGATGCTTGAGGAGATATTTGAAAATAAGCCACACCACGAATTTTTGACCGCACTAAATTATCCTCCAAATCTTGGTGGCGCTCTCTCTCAGCAACAAAGCGCATACTTTGCGAACAGAGTTATCCTACCTTTATGAAAAGATCAAAGTGATATTGTGACAAGTTTTTGAATAATTAAGAATTCAAATTTCGGAACAACGCTTTTTTAAAACGGTTACGCTGACAACAAGCCTCTCTGTATCGAAACTGTTGTGAATAAAAGAAGTCGTTTTGTAAGCTGAGCTGACTACGGAAATACATGTACAGGGAAAATATCAGGATAACATTGGTATTACTACACTCGCACGTTAGTTGCTATAATGTTATTGTTGTTGTTTTTTAAGCTAGTAATAAACAATAGCAATAAATGAAGCTTCTGCGGACTTTTAAACGTGTAGGTTTCATAGAGCTCGATTTATCGGCGCCAGTGATCACTACTCGAAGACCGATGAACAGCAATCAAACTGCGCGTGTAAGGGGGTGCTATTCCTATTTTTCTTCTGGAGAAACGAAAGACAGCTTCAAATAGCGACTGCAGCGCCATCTGAAGTAATGTGCGTTAGGCCATGGATGCTTTTTGGGGTGAGTGAACCATCTTGCAGTGTACCATGTTTGACCTGACGAGAATTCTATTCTCTGGATCGCAGATAGGCGCAAAAGAGATATTATTACTAAGATCTATCTGTTTCCCTCCCCCCCCCCTCCCCAAATCCGTCAGCCACACACACATAACAACAACAATACATGCAACCGCAACAGCAACCAGTAGCAACAGTCGTAACAGGAAGAAAAATAGCATCAACAACAACAGCAGCAAGAAAATCAGCAAAACACTTCAACGGTTTTGTCCGTTTTGCAAGTTTTTGATATAAATATGTGAAATCGATCACTCACGCAAAGTCGTTTCAGAACGTTTTAGGTTTTCACTGTTGACATTTCCTGGAAACTTTACCTTATATTCGTACTCGAAAATGGATATCTGTCTAATGTAAGCCATTTTCTTCCCCGGCTGCAATAAATTATAATCAGCTTACATCAACGGAATCCTATTTTCATTTTCTGCCCAACTCATTTACATTAACTAAATAATAAAGTGAACATGTCCACTGGAACGTTTGGATCGACTGACATATCATTTACGTTTGTAAGTATGATATTAGTGTTAAGATCTTGTAACAGCAAACTTGAACATAAATCAAGAACACAGGAGTCTCGTCTTGGGCCGAACATCACGAAGCAGTTTATTTATGATCAATATGTCAAAGGAACAATATCTACACAACATGTTAGATTATTTACATGATACAGAATACATGCCTTCATTAATAATTGACACTCACACGTCTCAGTCATTCTCACATAGAATAGTACAACACCAGCATAATGGTAAACGGTGGCAAAGAATATGAAATACAAACATGACATATTATGATATGAAAATGACATAATAAACATCATGGAAGTGTTTCTTCAAAGGGGAAACAACTTAATAGCCAATGTCCTGCAAAGGGAATGAACTACGAGCGGATCTAAGTATTTCCCTTACATAACACCTTTCCTTCAGTCTGAAGGTATCTTAAGACTAAAGTGTTCCCAGAAGCAATCACAACCAGAGAAATGTCAAAGTTCACAATATGTATCTGTCACGGCTGGTGACGTGCGTGTCGAGGGCGAAGTTGATCCTCATGTCGTCTCCACATCGGGCCGTCTGGTACACGGACCTAGTAAAGTTTGTGACCCAGGAAGGCGGTCACCACAGCTGGCTTCCATCTGTCCTTACGCCCACCTTTGTAGGAAAGCGCGAAGCATGGGCTGTCTTTGTTGAGACGACGAGCAGGCACCGGCTCATCTCGAATTCGGGGTGTTGTCTGCCTCTGCGATGGGATGATGACGTCGAGCGTCGTACGGATCTGACGTCCATTCAGGAGCTCACTGGGACTGTTACCACTGGCCAGCGGTGTGCGGCGGTAGTGCATGAGAAACTCCTGAAGGGCGTCGGCGGGAGGCAAGTCAGACTTCTTGAGAGATTGCTTAAAAGTCTGGACCAGTCTCTCTGCTGCTCCGTTCGTCTCCGGATGATAGGGGGCTCCGTGCAGGTGTTGAATGCCCCGCTGCTCACACCAGGTCTGGAACTCGGCTGACGAGAAACAGGTGGCGTTGTCCGTCACAATGGCGTGTGGATAGCCAAAGTGAGCAAAGTCCTCGTCGAGTCTCCGGGTGGTCGCCTTGGTTGTTATCGAGGACATGAGGTGGATGCATGGATACTTGGAGAATGCGTCCACCATGACCAGCCAGTTGTGACCTCTGAAGTTGATGGCGTGGTCAATATGGACGTGGCTCCAAGGTTCGTTGGGGGTGATCCATGGGTGAGACGGCTGCTTAAGGGGCAGCCTCTGGTGCTCGTTGCAAGCTGTGCAATGTCGAGCGACGTCTTCAATATCGGCATCAATGCGTGGCCAGTAGACAGCAGTGCGGGCCAACTGTTTCATTCTCTGCATGCCGAAATGCCCCAGGTGCAGGATCTGGAGGACCTGGGGTTGCATAGTCTTTGGGATCACCACTCTGTGGCCGTAGAAAATGCAGCCATTCGCGAGAGACAAAGAGTCTCGAAGAACGTAGAAAGGTTTAATTTGATCACCGAGGTTCTTCGGCCAGTTGCCTTGCAGGTGCTGGATCACCCTGGTCAGAGTAGGGTCTTTGGACGTTTCTCTCTCTAAAACCTTCGGGTCTGCAGGTGCGATTTGGCTGCTGATCAGTTTTATGGTGCAGATAGTTGCTGAGTCTGCACCAGTCTCCTCCCTGTCAAAGGATGGATCCGCCCCCGCTGGCAATCTACTCAGGGCGTCTGCGTTGCCGTGCGCTGATGTCTTGCGATACTCTATGGAGTAGTCGTATTGGCTCAGAGTGAGAGCCCATCTGGCCAGTCGATTTGCTGCCAGAGCTGGAATTGGCTTCGTTGATCCAAAGAGGGCAATCAGCGGCTTGTGATCTGTCACCAGGATGAAACGTCGACCGTAGAGGAACTGGTGAAACTTGTTGAGACCAAAGATGATAGCCAGGGTCTCCTTCTGGATTTGGCTGTATCTTCTCTGGGTCTGCGTCAGTGTTTTTGAGACATTGGCAATGGGTCTCTCACTGCCATCGCTGTATATATGAAACAAGACACAGTCAATTCCCACGTCTGATGCATCGCAGGATATTCCCACCTCCAACGCTGGGTTGAAGTGAGCCAGGACGGTGTCAGCACTCAGACAGTCTTTGATATGTTGAAAAGCTGTCTGTTCAGGAGCACCCCACTGCCATGGGGTGTCTTTCTTTGTCTGACGGTACAACGGTTCCAGGATAGTCGACAGTTTTGGTAGGAATTTGCTGTAGAACTGGACTTGGCCTAAGAAAGATCTCAAGCTGGACACATTGGAAGGTGCTGGCATCTTCATGATGGCATCTGTTTTTGAACCTTTAGCAATACCGTTCTTGGAAAGGTAGTGTCCCAGGTACTCTACAAAAGGCTGAGCAAAGGAGCACTTCTCCAACCGGCAGCGTAGTTCCTTGTCTTGTAGACGCTGGAGCAGGCCTCGGAGATTCTGCAGGTGTTCCGCCGAATTGTTGCCGCTGACAAGGATGTCGTCCAGGTAGACGGCCACACCAGGCAGGTCTTGAGTTAACTGGTCCATGATTTCTTGGAAATAACCGGGAGCAGAGGTTATTCCAAACGGCAGGCGTTTCTGTAGCAGGACGCCTTTGTGACTGCTGAGGGCAAGTTTCTTCTGCGACTCTGGGCCAAGGCAGATCTGATTGTATGCGTCAGCGAGGTCAATCTTCGTGAAACAGTGGCCTCTACCCAGTCTCCGCATGAGATCCTCCGGCTGTGGCATCGGGTGACGATGTGTCTCCAGTTGCTGGTTCACAGTGACAGAGTAGTCACCGCAGACTCTGATACTGCTCTGACCTTGTGGAGACTTCTTCTTGATAGGTACCACTGGCGTACCATATGAGTTGAACTGGACTGGCTCCCAGATACCTCTGTTGATGCCGGCTTGAATGGCACTATCCAGATCTTCCTGTACAGCAATAGGGACTGGGCGAGGCTTGTGAAAAACTGACTGGACGTCTGGCTTGAATCGAACCTCCAGCTCGAAGTCCTTGAGTGTCCCCAGCTCTTTCTTGAACAAGTCTGGGAACTCCTGACATAGTTGCTGGCAGGAGCTCTGCAGGGACGTA